TAGGGAGATGATTTATTCAATTTAAGTTTAAAGGAAGTATTCCACTAAAACGTTGATAATTTCCTTAGTTGGAAGGGGGGGTTGGGTGTTTGGTTTGGGATGGCTGGCAATTGTCCTACAGATGATTAGGATGAGAATAGAGGTGAGAAGGAAGATGGATCTGGTAAGGATAAAGACTAACGGAGTGTGAGAGCTAACAAAAAAAAAAAAATGTGGATAACAAAGTATGGTACGATCCAATATAAGCGAATCATTGTCCATATTACTAACCTACCAAAGCTGCCAGTGCTTTAATTGAATGCTTTTGTTATAGCTTAAGGAGTAGAATGTAACATAATGGAATTACTGCAACACAATCTCAATGCCGTTTATATCGGGATCGATCAAATCGAATATACAAATCATCACCCCCTTTTCTCCTGTCATATCAAACATCAGGTTTGGAAGGTGCGGGCAGCTTGCTTTGAGTGGTGGAGCATCAAAACAGCAGCAATTTTACAAGGATTGAGGAAATAATTAAGTTTAGATCTTTTTATTGGCTACAAGTACTCAAGGGCTGTCCTAAATTATTAGAAGATGAGGAATGCTAGCTACGCTCGCCTTTCTCCAGCACTCTCCAACACTCTCTCATGTAAAATGTCCACGAAACAAAATTTGGCTTGCAATTCAAAGTTTCCAACTAGAAAAGTTCACGTGGCTATTTTAGATGAGGGAGTGTTGGAGAGTGCTGGAGAAAGGCGAGTGCAGCTAGCATTCCTCTTAGAAGATATATCTAGTTCACATCTCCTACAATGGCCTAGGAGAGGTTCAGCAATAATATTCCAAAACACTTGCTTACCTATTTCTTTATCTTATATATGCTAGGGGCGCAACATTAATCATGATCACATAGACGTTATCACATTCACATGATAATGTTAAATAATTTGTAAACGTTAACATCCCACGTCAGGAAAAAAAAATAAGAATCTAATGGAATTTATAAAAACCTATTTATTATCAACAAATAGTTAAGTAAAATGAAATCCAAAATAATTTGAGTCATATCCCTTATATATATAGGCAAAAGATGGGCATTTGAATTGCCAGAACATTATTTTTATTATTTTTAGATTTTTTAATTTATTTTATTAAATTCAATCTTGGAAAAATATGTTTGAAATTCATATATAATTTTTGATAAACAAAGGGTAACTCTATGAAATGATGTCTTTTTGTAAGGATATACCTTTACAAATAATGATTATTTAGGTAATATAAATTTTTATACAAAATTAAAGTTCTATGTTTAATTCTAAGAGAATTTTGAATTCTATTATATATCAGAGGATTTTAAATCTTTAAAGAAAGTAAGATCATATTTCAGAACTTTCATTTCATTCTTCTACCATCTCTTATTATTTCTTCAATAGATAATACAGTGCTTGATTGTAGGTAAAAGGGATTTACCTGCTATGAGATCAGTGTTAACACTGGTACAGTAGGTATGACCTTTTATTTGTATTTTTCTGATTTTTGGAACTATGTTCTTGAAATGGTGTAGGGATTTAAGTATCCCTTGCACTCTTTTAACGAGAATGATTTGTTTTGGATGAAAAAAAAGAAAAGAAAAGAAAAAAACAACGTTTATGTTTGATGTAAAAGGAAGTGGTGCATGCACTTTGTAAAATTATACATTCTGTTACAAACTGATGATTTTCATTACTTCTACCGTTAAAACTAATCGTTTCCGTTACTGTTAAAACTAATATTTTTTGTTATTTATGTCGTTAAAACTGATGATTTTTGTTACATACTAATGGTTTTTGTTAGTATATAATATACTAATGGAGTGTGTAACTTTACAGAATGTATGTATTATTGTCCTTAACTTGACATAATATCTATCTTCCTGTAAGATTTGATGTGATATGATATGGGCGATCGTTTCTCTAAACATAAGACAAGTTTCTGTTAATCAAGGAAAAATGAACATCAAAACATCAAATTATACATGTTTTGTAATGTCGTAAGCATATATCAGAAGTTCAAGAGCGAATGTTTGTTCTTTCACCCCCTTCTTTCTCTAATCTCTTACCAGAAAATTAAAGTATCCGGCCCTTACCATAGATCCACTGTCCACGTCTGTAGAAGTTACCAATTTTGTCTCTACCTCTTATCCCTTCTATATATATTGGCCCCTGCATATCATATATCCTTCAATGTAACCAAAAATAAGCATGGCAATTCAAGGCTACCAACTCTTTCTCCTTCTAGCTTTTCTTGGCTCCGCTACTCAAATTGGAGGCAATATTGTGACTGACACACTCTTCCGGAGTGATTGCTCGGATGGTTTAGTATTTGGAGCGGCATCATCAGCTTACCAAGTTAATTTCTTCAACCATATAGTTTTACTTATATTAGAGATGCCATTGTCATGTATTTTTGTTTATCTTTGTTAATTCTTTCTCTCAGTATGAAGGTGCGGCTAATGAAGGGGGCAAAGGGCCGAGTATCTGGGACACTTTCACTCACCAATATCCAGGTCTAGTAATCTGTTTCTCCATCTATATATGGGGTTTCAGTCTCGAAATCATGCAAGTTTCTTATCGAACTTTTCAAAGTATAACAGAGTTGTTTATTATAAAATGGCAGAGAAGATAGCTGGTGGAAGTAATGGAGATGTGGCTATTGATTCATATCATCGGTACAAGGTAACAAGTTGTGTTTACTACCATATGGGAGGCGAACATGGTGGGACAACAAGTTTTGACTTTTCTATGTTTGTCAAAAGTGACAAAAAGTTAATTATCTTTGCATTTGTTATAGGAGGATGTTGGGATTATGAAAGAAATTGGTCTAGATGCATACAGGTTCTCAACCTCGTGGTCCAGAGTTTTGCCAAGTAAGAAAATGCTATTAGCTAGGTTGTTTAATGCTATGGCAGCGACTAGAAAAGGAAATTCTTGGTCATTCTTCCATTCTTATTTTGTTCTTGTCACTTTCAGATGGAAAGCTAAGTGGTGGTATCAACAAGGAAGGAATCAAATACTACAACAACCTCGTCAATGAGCTCCTAGCCAATGGTCGTGATTCATTATAATTTTTCTAGTTAATTTTTTTATGTGAATCATGTGTTTATGAGGGTTAATTATATGTCCAGGAATATGCAGGCATCCAGCCATTTGTGACTATCTTCCATTGGGATGTTTCCCAAGCCTTGGAAGATGAATATGGTGGTTTCTTGAGTCCTATGATTGTGTAAGTTTTGACTTTTACGTATCAACCACCAGTGCCTATTATTAAATAAGCTTTTAATAGAGGCCTAAATAACTCTAAAGCACAAATTATGACCATATTTTTTGCTCTTAATCCAATTGCTTAATTAAATAAAATCCTAAAAGAGGCTATAATTAGTTATTATATATACATAAAAATGAAAATTAGACATCTCAATGCTAAAAAATGTGAAGACACTTATCTTAAACCATTACTTAAATAGAATTTACATTATATTTTACTTATTATATGATTTTGATTGAATATTTTGACAATTTTAATAT